GCCAAGAACACCTCTAGGCTTGCTTCAAAAGGGCCCCGCCGCGGTGGTCTAGTGGCTAAGGTACTCGGCTGCTGACCCGCAGGTCGCGGGATTGAATCCCGGCTGCGGCGGCTGCATTTCCGATGGAGGCGGTAATGTTGTAGGCCCGTGTGCTCGGATTTGGGTGCACGTTAAAGAACACCAGATGGTCGAAATCTTCGGAGCCCTCCACTACGGCGTCTCATAATCATATGGTGGTTTTGAGACGTTAAACCCCACATATCAATCAATCAATCAATCAATCAATCAATCAATCAATCAATCGTGAAAGAGTGCGTGTAGCGACGCCATCCCGACGTCCCCGCACCCGCATCCTGACGTCAGAGGTTTTGCAGGCGTCTACTAGAGACCACGTGGTTCTTGATCTGTAAATGTGAAGTACATTGTCTTCCGAGGTAGCGAGATGCGTAACCTACCAAGGGCCAGGAAATTTAGTTGAGTTAACGTGGTCCAAAATGCGAAAAAGGAAACGAAATTCACGACGTCACCATCGGAAATTTTGGCGGGAGATTTAAAAGTGGGACTTTGTGACATTTTATCGTTCGTTAACAAACCTGGCATTGTCAAATGTACAACACCGGGGTGCATTTAGAGTAAAATTTGTCAGTTTTCAGGTTAATCTATTGTTTGACTTGCGTGTCCCTTTAAATCGAATCTCAAGGAATGGTGAAAGCTTTGCAGCTTTTGGGAAAATGGAGTTTTGTTAGTTTCTACTCCCTTTCAAATACTAATTACCGGCTAGGGTTTTTTTCTATTTTGAATTTACTGCTTGCATTTGTTAGTTTTGTTAGTTTATCCGACGCTGCAATATTTCACTTGAATAGGTCCTTGAATTAGTGTTTGCCGAACAGGCTTGTGTTAGTCATTATGTGACCGCGCTTAACTGCTGTAACGAGCACGTTTCCTTATCGAACGAAAGTAACCCTCCCCTTAGTCGACCGGAGACTGACGGCGCGTCGCCATTAACTTGTCGCTGCGTTAATTGATGATTGACGTGATGCCGCGGTGCTTCCCGCTTTTCTTGTATACATGCTTGCTTGCATGATGCCAAAAAGAAGTTCATGTCACTTTATGCATTTAGTCAGTGTCCACATTGCCATGAACGTAGGCTTGAGCGTAGGTGAGGGGACAAATTTCACTGCTGCGCCCCTCCTCCGCCCCCTTCCGATTGGTCGTGTGACGTGCATCTCGCGATGGACTGCCATTGGTCCACAGCTTTCACTGGTGTAAAGGTGGTAGATACAGTTTTTCGAAGGAAACATGAGAAGCCATCGGCCGCCATGCAGACACGGTGCCTCCCTTGTATGATTCGGGAAGGGAGGGGGGGGGGCTCGCCTTTCTTTGAGGTGCGCGCGCCTACGTTAATAAATAAGTTACAAGCAAATGCGGGAATGTTACAAACACCTTGAAGCGTCCACAAAGTGAGAGAGAAATGGGCTGAGAGCTTTCGTTGCCTTCTGTACGTAGGTGTCACAGCTTTGTTGCGAATGCGAAGCAATGAACGTAATATCAACGAATTGGAAAGTCACGCGCAGAATGGGAACCAGATCGAAACGTGCCCCGCGTTTCTCACGCACAAATGACGCACTAAAAGTACTCACAGGTACAGATGCACGCGAATAAGCGTCTCAGTTGTTATTTCGCCGTGTCTGAAAAGCGCGCGCTTTTTACGAACGGAGACTGTAATGATTACAGTTACCATTGTGCGCCCGGTAACTACAACAAAATCGTTCGAGGCGAAACCCGAGGCCAGTCGAGACGTATGATCCTTCCCTCCTCCCCACCGCGAGATAAAGGGCGCGCGAGGGAGCGTCGCTCTCCTCCTCTAAGCGGGGCAAAGTATGCGTGGGATATTAGAGCGCGCGCCGCCGCGTGGTGTGGCTATGCGCGCTCATCGCGCCATCTTGCTGGTAATGCTGAAAACGCGGTAATCCCCCCCGAGTTGCTCGTCAGCAGCGGTAAGTGGTAGATACAAATAGCCTGCTGTTTGAACGGTGAAAGACGTAATCCTCGGTGGCTCAGTGGTTAATACCCGTGCCACACGGGCAGAAAAATGGCATTTACCCCCGAATGCCTTCAGATGTATTGCCATTCGCGCGGTGCCACACGGGCGAACAAAATGGCATTCGTCCGAATGCCATTCGAATGCCATTCGCCACCAACTGCCTTCGCCAGAACTCAGTTGACTGAGAAATGCCTACTCTCGACGACACAGCTCGCGAAGTGCGATTTACCTGAAAGTATATAAAACAAATCATATTGAGCTAAAAATGAATTTTCCCGTCTTTTATTTGTACTAAAGTCTTAAAAAGATGCTTTGAACGTTATACGAAGAAAATAAAGTATTGATAATGAAACGCTTGTCAATTTTAGTGTCTATTTACGCTGTGGATCTGACTAGCGTTGGCTTAGGTTGCTACGGTCGGCTGCAACGTTGTAAAACAAAGCAAGAAACTAAAACTTAGGACAGCGTAATACGCTTATTTCTACATTTGATGATTATCTGATGTGTATGAAGCTTGTAAATGCTTCTTATTTTTTTTTTGTTGCTATTCACTCAATGCTCACTTGGAAGGTGCTGTGATCGACATCATCAAGTCAAATGTCATTCGCTTTGGACGTGTAGCAGCGCCGGCGAAACGAATGTCATTCGGGAACTGAAGGCCTTCGCCACCAAATGTCATTTTATATGCCCGTGTGGCACGGGTATAACTCCCCCCGCACTCGCGATTCAGAGGACTCAAGTGAAATTCCGCGTGCCGGAGTCTTTTTTCTGTTTTTTTTCTTTTCTTGTATTTTGACATATAGATACGCATACATATACGGTGAGGGACGGCGACGCCGGCGGCATAATCCAGCTGAGAGTGTCCGTGTAATTGCTATCGCAGTAATAGCTGGGCCTCTGATGCAGACGCGCTAGGCTGCTGGGCACCCTAGCTGACGCCATGTTCTGTGCACAACGTCGATCGATTGGCCTGTTGCGTGCCCAAGTGCCATATCTTTCGGCATGCTATAGCACCACCATCAAGAACTACAACCAGCAACGCAGGGAAAGAAAAAAAAAGGAATAAAGGAAAGGCCATGTCGATTTAGTGCTGCCGCCTGTGCAAAACAACGTCGCGCCGCAAGCTTGGACCAACGCCCCTGAACTAGCTTGGAGTGGGCTGATGTGCCTGGCGGGGGGGGGGGGGGGGGGGGGGGGGAGGGGTTGGAGTGACCTTTTCGCAAACACGGCCGGAAACTCCTTGGTGAGACCCCTTCCGCCACTTTTTTTAAAGTCTTTTTTTTTTTTCGTTTTCGTTTTACACGTTCGTCGTTTACGTATTATATGTAGTAGACACGTTAGAGAAGTACTGTGAGTGACGAATCAGGTGCGGCGGCTGTTTTATACACGCGTGTCGCGTATTCGCTGGTGCTACGTGCACAGTGTTCGCGTCTGCACGTGTTATGTGATTACAGCCGAGCTTATCCTTACGTGCGACGACGCGATAGCTATCATGATAAGGCCAATGAGATGCATGCAGCGTGCTTCAATTGCGCCGTGAGGTAACATCGTAACATTTTTGAAAGGATGAAACGTGGCCGATAAAAAAAAACCGCATGCTTCCATGCGTGATATCGGGAATGAGAACATGTTTGGGATTCCTCATGTGTCTTAAATGTTCATTACGTCCGTTCGTGACGGGTCGCTATAAATATTAAAGAGGCATGCTTTATTCTTTCATTGTATTTTTTTGTGGGCCTGAAATAAACGCTGTCCTAAAGCTGGGCCAACACTTCAGCAGTTCTTGGTTTGTAACTTACGCGGTGCTGCACACAATTATAGCGTGACGACGTACACGTTTTTTTTTTTTTTTGCGTCGTATCCGCGAAGTTCCGTGCAGACGACGCAGATCGCCAGATTGCGATGGTAACGCCATCTGGCAGTGGCGCCGCGTAGCTTCTTGATACATTGGCGTCGAGTCGGGTGTCGGCCCCGCGCGCGTTGGTGGGTCAATCAATACTGGGCACACTGCGCGCGCGATCCCCAAGCTTATGCGGTTTGCTTTTTTTCGGCGCCAACTGTTTTTTTAAGTTCCTTCTCATTTCTAGACGGTTGTCTGGTAAGCCGCGTTTGTTTTCGTGACTGGCGTTGCGGCGGCGCTACGCCCGAGTCGATCATTTCAACGGCGCCCCGCTAACGATCGCTCCGCCCCCTTGCGGAAGCGAGCGTACTGAAACGTGTCGTTTGTCAATTGTGCCCCGTTTCTTTTTTTTTTCTTCAGTCAACTCCAGCTTTTTCCTCTGGAACGAACCGTGAAATAGAAAGCATGCTACCTCATTGATCTGGATCTGTAGCGTTAAAGCGGCTGTGCTGTGTAGTTGTATGAGGCCCGACAGTGTCTAGTCAATAAAGTGTTCGTGGCACTATTGTCAGCTTGTGAAAGGTACTGACTTGAAGCATCTTTTGGCTACATTTGCTTGCTTTTGTCCGCTTTATGCCCTTTACAGGTGCTGTGCACAGAGCTTATTCTGTGGATAATTTCGAAAGCCTTTTAAGGAACATTTAACTTAAAAGTAATATCGAAGATAAAATCTATTAGCACACTAAATAGACTTCAGTCGGTTATTTCACACACTGAAAGTGGAACAAGCAGCGCTCCATGTGGGACGGTGATTGAGTGACAAACAGACTGATCATTCTGTCACCATTTCGTGTCTTGTGCTGTCCCCATCTCGATGACACACCAGTAAGTTCAGTGCTCCCATATGTTATGCCAAACTGACTATCATCGTACTGAATGACATTTCTTCTGCATGTCACAAGTTTGCTTGATAAAGAGTTTGCTGTTTAACTTATAGTTGTGGGTTGCTGTATTGTTCGCTATCACGACAATGTTACAGTATTTGGAGAGAGTAGAAGGTCAGATCGCCTTTGTTTATTCAGCCAATACTGTTTGCTCTTTTCGTTATTTTACCAGGACTTGGTGGACGATCACTGGCAACTTTGGCAACATCCTGCCCATCGACTGGTCCAAGTCTTACGCCAGGAAACTGCAGCTGCCAGCGCTCAACCTCAATGAACGAATGGTGAGATGTCTCATTAACATCTTTTCATGGGATGCCAACCCCCATTGCCACACCTTTTGGAGCACACACTCCAAAGGCCAATGTGCATGTTCAATGATCGTGATTTTGTTTGGTGTCAACCATTTGGTGGAGGAAACTGTACTTGACTGAAATTTACGAATTGCACTCAAACGAGTACTGACAAAATTTAGAGGCACATTAAAAAGGACTTTTTATAATATTATGATATACACTATCAACACTCCGATCAGTGGAGCCACACAACACACATAAAATATTTGACTTTGATTTTAAAGCTTTGCCGTCCAACATCTGCATTGTCGCCCTACTACAACGGGCACGACGAGTCAACACAGTTGACTGGGTTTGCAGAGTTTGCGTGATGCACGCAGCATCAATTGCAGAAATTGCCGTTAGAGTCGCTGGACAATGATTCACGCATCATTGCTTACGTGAACCACATTCTACTGGTAGCAAATGACAGCTTGCGCTGGCATTTTGAGAGTCGCAGTCTTTTCATGACGTCAGACTTGTGTTGACGCATCACGTCGAAGCTGCCCTTTCTGTACCAAAGATGAAAGTTGCTTTTTAAGGTAGCAGTAGTGAAAATACTCTATTCAATGCAATCCCAAGCACTGACACCATTTTTCAGGTTCCCGATGCCCATGTTTTTGCTTAGTGCAGCTAGCCAAAAATAGTTAAATTTTGCATCAGCACTTTTTTTAAAAGATAGGTCAGTTTCAACTGTGTAACTCTGCCCACAGCTTGTTACACTTGCTGAATTAGAATAGAATAGAATAGTTTATTTCAGACATAGTTACACACAACATAAGTATGTTCACAAGGCAAGGCAAAAGCAGACTCGTACATCTCCTGACGAGGCTTTCACCCCGGACTCCCACGTCCAGGGTGAAGGCCTTATTACTTTAAGCAAATTTTATTATGTAGTAAGATTTGCTTTTCACTGGCAATACTGACATACTAGGAACTGACTGTACACTGGGTATGGGTACTGCACTAAGATGTATGCATGTGCATTCATGTGAATGGCCTATATATATATCATAACAGGGAAAAAGAACAACGTAAAACATAGGGAGTTTAGTGGACAGTTAGTTAAGTGGTCAAAAGACGGTCGTCAGCTCGTAAAGTCAGGACTTGTTTTTTTTTCTTTCCAAGTTATCTGCTGTCATTGTCCTCTTCTTTAGTCCATTAATATACGTATACAGTTAAACCTCTTAATAAGAGGTATGCTCTGGGCAGCAGTTCTTGTCTTTTATATGAGATGTCTCTCATAAGCAGGGTATGTCGGACGCATTTTCTTATCAACCCGTATTTTACTGTAGGCATCGTGGTGTCTCTTATACCTATTTGTCTCATATATGTGTCTCTTATAAAGGAGTTCGACTTAGTATGTTCGGTTGGCGGATAAGTGTTCCTAGAAACTGTTCTGATATGTAAACAAATCCATTGTTGAAAACGAAATTTCGTGGACATTTTAGTATAGCTCTGTCTGTATCAAGATAAAGGCCTACCTGGCCAGCTGTAACACTGAAATAAACTTGTGTTATTTTCTTACACGGATTTTCCCAAAGTTTGCATACACTAGATAGATGCTCAAGAACACAAATTTTGAGCTTATGATTGCCCCGTCGCGGTGGTCTAGTGGCCAAGGTCTAGTGGCTGCTGACCCGCAGGTTGCAGGATCGGATCCCGGCTGCGGCGGCTGCATTTTCGATGAAGGCGAGAATGCTGTAGGCCCGGGTGCTCAGATTTGGGTGCATGTTAAAGAACCCCAGGTGGTCGAAATTTCCAGAGTCCTCCACTATGGCGTCTCTCATAATCGTATGGTGGTTTTGGGGCGTTAAACACCACACATCAATCATCAATCAAGCTTCTGACAGTGGTTGCTGCCATAGTGCCATGGCTTTAAATGATGCAGTAAATCGTTCTGGGTGAAGTCTGATGATCTGATTTTAGGCTTAGACTTCGATATTACCACTGAAATGGCCTCTGTATAGCTTGTAAATATAGTGATGGGCAAGGAATGATGCTGTACAAATAATCACGGCCTACTCAAGAAGGACTATGGGTTGTTCGAACTTAGATGCACGACCCTTGACATTTGCATGTTACCAGGAGGATGTGCTTCTATGCGTGACCAGGCTCATAGAGGCTTTTTGACTTTCTTAAGAAAACGGACCTGGCGTCGCGTTTATAGATATTTTTCATGTGACTATTTTGTCGCGGGTGTGTTTTTCCCCCGTTTTTTACTTTCCTCTTCTCTCTTCTTCTTTTCTCTCTCCTTTCCTGTATGCCTCCCCTTCTCGAAGGAGCAGGCAGGTGTCAGCCTGGTTCCTCTCTATTTCCTCTGTCTTCGTGTTTTCTATATAGTACACAAACCAAATAATAATAAATAACAACAATCACGGCCTGCTTGGTTGCACATTGCAGAAATCTGAACGTCTAGATGGCGGCCTCGACAATGGCTCGGACGACGAAGAGGAGCTGGCCAAGGATCTGGACCTTCATGCACTCATCCTCTCCAGCCTACAGCAGGAGCCCATCTTCACAGCTGAGCAGGTGCTTGAGGAGATTGACGAGATCATGCAGGTAGGGAGGGAACCAATGGTGTGCGACAGTAACCTTGACAGAACCATCTAACCTCACAAAAACAAAGCAGAGGCAAAAGAAAGAAACTGCAGTGGATGAACTTGGTGTATGCGCCAAACCGGTGCTAATCTCCCACCATACCAGATGATCACTTTCTCTCTCTCTCTCTCTTCACATCTGTCAGTACATACATCCTTATTTCCCTCACTGCCAATAGAAAGGTTCATGCATATTCATATTCTGGGTTGGTCAGTCCTTTCATTCGTTAATTTTGTCTAACTACATGTCAGTTGAGCATTACATGCATAGTGCAGAAAGCATTTATATTTGGCTGCCTCCAACTGCATTGGTTTATTTTTGTGCTTTCATTTTGCTTTTGCTTATTTTTGTATTTAAGTTAAGTTAAAACTGATTCAGTGATCTTTTTTTGTAGTTTCTTTCTGGTCTCATTATTCGTTGACTTTGTATGTAATGGTATTTTGAAGCAGACAGAATGAACTTTGCGAGCACTTACACTTTACTGCCAATAATAAGCTTAGACAAAAAAATAAGTAACTAGAAATTTGTGATGCGATGTAGACATATGGGCACTGAGGTTCCACTGCAAAATTCAAAAAGTAGAAATTTGAACATTGTCTTTTTTTTTGTCTTCCCTAACAATTATTCTCTTACTGTATAATTAGTTCAAATAAATTTAATAAAGAATACTTTACCAGTTAAATATAGTATTGCTCGTTGATGACTCTTCGAAAAATGCTTACATAAGTTGTGAAGTGGCTGCTTGCGTTCTGCAAACTCCGTCATGTTTGTGCTGGCATAGCCCTGAAACAATTCCAAAAATAATCTCCGAGGAGAACGTCTGCTAAGGCCTGTCACTGGCGACCAAAGTAAATATTTCCTCTTACTGAAGACTTCTGCATCTTTCTTTTTCTCTCTTTTTGCCTTCTTTCCTTTTATCCTTTAGGAGACCGCTCCCTCCGAAGGGGTTCCATCACCCGACGGCTCCCCGGAGAAGACGGCCAACGATGCCATGACCAAAAATGCTATCTCGTCACTCGTCTATGGAGAAAGTGAGTTGATTATGCCTTGTGTGTAGACGTCTCCTGTGTAGGTGTCCTTGTCTTTTGTGTAGTTGAGTGTGTCTAGCAAAGGGGCATGCTGATAAAAAAAAAGTGTTTATCACGTTTTCACCCTTGGTTTAACATAAGGGATTTTGAAAAAGATACTTATATATGTGTCTGTTGTTGTAGGTGAAAGGCTAGCAGAAAGAGAAAAAAGAAGAAGAAACAAACAGAACCAGTTCCAATTCTCTTTAAAGAAGCACTGACATCAAATTTGCTTATGTCAAGATTTTTGCGTCAACGAGTAGCTATCGACCCCCTAGTAGGGATTCGTGACCTAAAATGCATCTGAGGGACGAATGGGTATCTGTAATATTGATTAATATATTCGCTATCGAACGCGCTTTAAAATGGGTGGAGAGCCCGCCAAATTTTTGTGCTGGCAGCACTACCTCGCGGCCACGCCGTGGCCGCTGCACAGCTGATGCCGCTTTCACAAAAAATGGTGACGTCACACTGGCATTTCGTCTGCTAGGCACGCACGTACAGTGAGTCCAGCTGTGTCTCTGAAGGCGCAGACATGTTTCTGTGGCCAACATCGTCGTTCTCGTCATCATCGCGATCAACAACGGCAAGTGATGATGACAGCGACCTCGAATTGGGTATCGCCGCGATTCGCGACGATCCTTGCTTGACAAGCTCCGCGTTAAATGCAATGTATTTGTCAGTCCCGGCCGTACTGTCGTAGCTCAGGAACACCAACTACGCACCTCATGTCACGGGCGTTTGGCGAGTGAATCACTGCTTTCAGCTGCAGCAGGGCACACGGTAGGAATAGCCACGGCCTCGAGAAGAGGCCTCGTACTGCCAGTGAAACTTGACTGGTTCGCCAACACAGGATTTACCCTGTAGCAGCTAGCCACAAAGTGAAGGGAGCAAATGCGGCTGTTCTTCACAGGGGTCCAGTCCCTCTGTCCAACGGCGCGTATGAAGTCAACCCACTGACTGCGTTGAGGTTTGTGGCTTTGAAAGACATGAAACGCCACGCATTTTCCGCTTCTTCTGCACCTCGACGTGCAGGTTCTCACTAAGCGGCGGTTCTCCGACATTCTGGCACGTATTGTCACTCTGAATGATCGTGCTCACACGCAGTTGAGCACAATGCGAATCAGTCGATGCGACACGATGAATCACACGCACGCTTCAACACAGCAGGGAGAGCCACTAGTGAGAGCATGGTTGAGAGTCGGCTCCAAACACACTCAAAGATCGCCGACGTCATCATTACTAGCGTATCGTCACTCAAGATGGTATTTGTGGAATGTATCACACCGAACACGTAGCACTAGTGTCGATGTCGCAGGGCAGTCTATTTTTCGTTTTTTCTCCTTAGCTTTTCTATGCTGTTTGACGTTGAAATAAAATAACTTCGACGCGATGGACGCCATTCAAATTCGGCCAAGAAGACCTATGCATACCAAGTGATCGAATGACGGGCACATCTCGATCTTGAAATTTGATGTCAGTGCTCCTTTAAAGATTTGCAAATCGGACGCATTGTTCTGAGGTTGCAGTTTTGGTTCCTGACAGCGGCGAGTTGTCCTTAGGTCCACTTGAATTTGTTCATGTGCTAATTACCACAATAAATGCACCTGTACTTTCCTTAGCTTGATTGTCTGTTGCATCTCATTAAAGAAGCGTAAAGGGCACTTCACTCACGGCATCAGGTGAATTTCCATATGCCTGCATTTCGTTGAGTCGTGCTAGCTGGGATGCTAAAGAAGTTCACCGGCTGGCCTTACTTCATATAACATTCCAGTTTGATGCTGTTGCATTCACTGCAGTGGGTGCCGTGAGTTTCCACAGAACTGGCTCGCTTCTCACAATTTCCTATAGAAAGCAGTGCCAATGCCTTAGAAATCCGTCATATATTTGTCGCCGCCGCGCAGGGCTCAAGACGCTGTCGACAGCCGAGCTGAACGAGGTGCTGGTGGAGCTGGAGCGGCTGATCCGTGATCACTCCGAGACGCTCATCCAGGAGCTGGCCCTGAGGGACGAGCTCGAGTACGAGAAGGAACTCAAGAACACCTTCATCTCTCTGCTGCTCAGCGTGCAGAACAAGCGCCGGCACTTCCACATTGACCGGCGCAAGGGGCGCCCCGCCAACTATCACAGTGTACCCGAACCCAAGGTGAGTGGCATCTCTTTAAATTACACTTAAACCTTGATATAATGAACCCTGATATAGCGAAATATTGGTTATGATGAAATAAATTAATAATAGCTGTGCAATAGATATTGTGATTTATAGCAGAACAACAGATGATGACCACACTCGCTCGTCGGCAACAAAAAGTGGTCCCACATGTAATCAATGGCAACGATGCCTGTCATAGTTGTGTTTCTTGACACTAGATGGCCGACCGTGTTCATGTTGTGCTATTTGTGCCTCGGCTTTCATTTTATTCACATATTTCATTGTAGTATTGCTATGCAGTGAAGCCATCTACGAGTTATCTTTTTGACGCAGTTAGGAACCCCGACGGATTGAAAAAATTGCACCTTTACATACAGAAAGAAAGCTCTGCACATTAAGAGAATTAGTGTTGCGGTAATGTTGGCAGAATTTTCTTCTTTGTTCACGACAGCAAAAAGGCATATGTCCCAAAGCTACACATGCTACGGGACACTGTAGTGGAGGGCTTCCTATAATTTTGACCGTTTTGGAGTTCCTTGATGTGCACGAAAATTGCACAGTGCGTGAGCCTTGATCACTTCTCCTCACACGAGTCGCATGGAGAAAGCCAGGGAGGGCTGTTCGTGTTCATATGGTGGATTAGTTGTAGAGGTTGTACTATTAGCCGATGTAGAATAGTAGAAAGAGGCCGTACAGAGTGAGTAACGTAGCAGCTCACCACTCGTTAGACCGTAGCACTGCATGCCTGCACTACGTGCAATGTCTGTCTACATTGTGTGTGCAATATTTGTGCTCTATGCCAGGCAATTACTCAAAATGTTGGTTGTCCCGAAAAATGTGCTCTACAGGCTGTGTTGGCCAGGTCATTCCAGTATTCAAAAATCATTGCTGCACAAGGTTTTTTGCTTTTACAGTGCAACCCGCTACAACAAAACTGATGGGGCACAATAAAGTTTTGTTGAAGGGAAAGTTTGTTTCTAGTGAAATAAAAAAAATATAGCTGATCTGAGCTAGCAAAACAAAGGAATGTCAATTCTCAGAATTCAAAAAGCGTCTGCTGCTTCCTATTCTTTTCCAGCAGCGTCGCGAGGTGATTCTCACCCATGCATAGCGAGTCCATGGTGAAAAGCTCGCTGAAATAATGCCTACAACCACTTTCGTGAGCGAACCAAATAGTTGCATTATTACATTAACACTAGCAGCTGTCCACCGTCAAAGTGTATCTCACAACGCCGAGGCTGAGGCAGGGTATCGTGGAGCAGTGAATTTTGCCTTATTCTATTCCAATCTTATCATACACTACTCGCAGATAGCTGATTTTGTTGATAATGCCGGTAACATCCACTCTGACTAGTTACCGCCCTGGTCAAGGGTGTACAAAATGATAAGCATTGGCATTGGAAAAGGCTTCGTTGCGCAGTTGCACCCACCAGCTGCGTGAAGGAAACCATAAACTGAGGGGCTGAGCTCAGCTTTGGATCGTCTGCGACTCAAAAGCAAGCCAGTGGCAAAAGCAGGACAGTCTCATTGTTATTGCTATCGAGCAATGGCGGGGCCCATGCTTGCCGAACAGTGGCGTATTCTGGTAGTGCCAACGCGTGTTTCAGACTTTGTCGACATATTTTCAGGTTCTGAAAATGCATCAAAATGTTAAAGATTGTGTTTACTGTATAGCAATAAATATCTAAGCCTGGAATTGCATCGTGAAATTTCCTTGAAGCGGGACGGCAGAAAAAAAAGTGCTCGTTGTGGCGACAATATTTATGCATTGACTTTTATGGTCTGCCGACGGGGAACCATGAATTTTTCATTGTAGCAGAAATTTCGTTGAAGTGACGTTCGTTGTTGCAGGGTTCGACTGTATACAGTCGCCGACCGATTTTCCGGACTCCAAAAATTCGGACTTGTTGGATATTCCGGACTTCATAAATGCACCGTCAGCGATTCCATAGAGCTAATGCATTGTTTCGACCGATTTTTCGGGCTAATTTGCCCCTGAAAGTTCGATTTTTCGGACTAAATCGCTCGTTTTGTGCCACGCTCCAAGCCATTGTGAACGCTTGGCTTGGCTAAGCTTGGTCTTCAGATGCCTTTCCTGCCTCCGAGATTGGAATGCGCACGCCATGTTTTAAGTTTCGGAGGCCGTGTTTGCTTTTTAAAAGACGCGGTGATGGACGCCGTTTTTCGTCTTCGGTCAGCACTATCGTCATCACATCGCACGGGGAGGAGGCGAAAGAAGGATTCTTTTATTGTCGTTGCAGCTTTTTCAGTTGCCATTCTGCACGTGTTGTGTCGCGTAGCGTCGAGACGTTGTGTGCTTCGCAGCGGCTATCTGCGGCATCGAATTTTGTGTTCTCGGTGCCATGGCTCCGCTATCTGTGCCATCGCGGGAGCCAGGTGGTGTGAAGAAGCGTGGGAAGTATACGACCCTGACGATGGAGAAGAAAGCTGCCATAATCAAGCTAATAGAGAGTGGACGTTCGCAGCTAGATGTCGCTGGATGACGGTCGACGCCGGATGGCGGTCGTCGTTGTCGTCGGATGACAACGACGACCGCCCGCAGCCGTCGGAGATCGCCAACGCGGGTGACAATTTTGTCGAGCGTTTACGGCGACGATGTCACCTTGGCGCAAATACGGGCAAACCAAATTGCCTCCAAGCGTAGTTTGAGGCAAGGCAGCATCAAGGACTTTTTTAAACCTGCCTGATGCAATAAACTTCAGATTTTTGGCGAAAACGAATTTTTCGGACTGTTCGATTTTTCGTACTTTTTTTCGGTCTCCGCCAGGTCCGAAAAATCGGTCGGCGACTGTATAGGTCTTTTTCATTATAGTCTGATCTTTTTTCTTCTCGTATTTTTTGACATTCTCCATAATATGTTTGAATTTTCATGTGTGCACTGAACTTGTGTTCAGCCCTCTATGTAGGTCGTTTTTATGTATTTCCTGCTTTGTTTTCATTCTCCTCTGTGCAGTATCTCACTACGGTGATCCCCTACAATGTCGACAAGGGTTCTCCAAACAACGCCTCCTTACAAATCCTCATCAAAAGTGAGTCGATTGATCAAGCTGCATGCATGCCGTGCTAAGTGCTGCGCAGAGGGATTAGTGCTGTGCAGCCAAATATCACTCCCACAGAACCTGCCATTTCTTCAGAAATAATTCCTGTCAAATAAGCTCTTTACAAATGCTTCTTATGAGTCTATAATGTTTTCAGAAGGCTTGATGTCTGACATGTGTGCACACAGTAATGTGTACGTACACACTTAACAGCAAAAGTTCATGAGACGTTCTTCGCTAAAGATGTGAACTTCTGCTCTATTGATGTGTAATCGTTCTGATCTATTTGGCGACTGTATAGGTCATAAAGCCAACTGCAGGCTGGGACCTTTAATTGTGCACTATCTTCCCAGACTAAACATGAATGTGGATCTCTAGAAGATATTGCGTCCCGCAAGCTTTTGCTGTTGGTTTTACATGATTATATATTGTTCCGTAAAAGTGTAAGTGGGTGTCAATAAAAAAGGGAGGTACACATGTTACATTCGCACTGACCTAGCATCTCCCCACTACCTGCTAAAACATGTTTGATCATAACATTCTTACGTTGGTGCATACATAAAACGACCACACACCTGATACATACAGGGAGGACTTCGACAGTAGCATGCACGTTTTGGTTTGTGCTTCTTTCGGACGCCCAATTTTCTGGACACCTGAAATTCCAGACATGCCCGATTTCCCGTACTCATCTGTGGCACTGTCAAGTTTTCCATAGAGTCAATGTATGAAAAAGTCCTTAATTCCTGACGCTAATAGCCTTTGGCATCCGATTTCACAGACTTTTTACTGTTAACGGCCGACAAAAAGTCACCACCGACAGCGCCATTTCGGTTGTTTTCACATCCTCGAACTCTCCATACTCGCATTGCAGGTATGGCCAGCAGCACTGCCGCCAACCTCCGCACCACTCCATGGCTGCTGTAACCTCGAAACTGCACATGTCAATTCGTTGCCAGCTGTAGCTTAGTGACTTAGCCAAGCCAAACCTCACCGTGTACGTTCGCGTGTTGCTTTGTCAGCTCTGTGGTCGCCTCTGAGGTTGATCGTTTGCTGCTGCGGGCTATCTTCTGTGATCACGTTTCCCGGCCTTCAGCATCCACCGAGTTCCTAGCTGTTTCGTGCTGTGCTTTTCGTCGAACGGATTCACCGTTTACAGCGATGACACCGACTGCTCCTTCACCTTCGTCTGCGTCTTCATTGCGCACAAAGCCCCCTTGTAGGCTCACGATGGAGAAGAAAGCTGCCATTATTGAACAGGTCCAATGCGGTCGGTCGCAGGCATAGATAGGGAGGGAGTTCGTAATTTCGAAGCAAACTGTTTCAGACTTCATCAAAAACAACGCGAAGATCTTGGAAGTGGCTGCCGAATCAACCAGGGCTGGAAAGCAGAATGCGAGCCAGGGTGTTTACCCGAAGCTCGAGGAAGCGCTCGTCGTGTGGCTCAGTGCCATGATCGCTAAAAAAATCGCGGCGTCGGGCGACATCCTGAAGCAGAAGGCGGAAGTTTTCGCGCTTCAGATGGACGTGAAGGACTTCAAGTTCAGCGATGGATGGCTTCGCAATTTCAAGAGCCGCAATGGCTTAATGTTAAAGAATAGGCGCTGGGAAAACGGCGCCATCGATGATTTCGTTGTTGCCGAATATTGGGATGGAAAGCTGCAGTTTTTGCTTCAGCAGTTTCCACCTAATGATATTTTCAACTGCGAGGAAACTGGACTGTTTCACAAGCTGCTGCCAGAGAAAACGCTTGCATTTGCTGGTGACCCTTGCCATGAGGGCAAGCACAGCAATGAGCGGCTTACTGTCCTCGTTGGCAAGAACATGTCGGGCAGCGAGAAGCTTCCATTAGTAATATTAGGCGATTCGAGCATCCAAGATGTTTCAATCTGGCAGTGACTCTGCCTGTTCTCTATGAAGCTAAGAAAAAGGCGTGGGTAACGCAGCAATTATTCGAAGCGTACGTGCGCAAGCTGGACAGAAGGTTCGAGCAGAAATCGAAGAGTTCTGTTGTTTGTGGATAACTGCACTGCGCATGGCCACATCAAGGATCTGAAGACTATTTGGATTGAATTTCTGTCGCCGAACACTACAGCAATCCTGCAGCCGATGGACCAAGACCTGGTTCGGAACTTGAAGCATAATTACAAATAACGAGTGTTCAGCTGAATGTGCTCTGCCCCAACAACAGGAAAACCTACCCTGTTGACCTCAGGTGTGTTGTCAGCATGCTAGTGGAATCGTGGAAGGCGGTTGTGGAAGGCAGAGTCAGTTGTGTGTTAGGCTTATTTGTGCGGCTATGTACGGTGGATCATGGTGTTATTTCAGCCAGGTGGAAAGGAAGCGGCCACACCATGCACTCTCGCTTGAAAGAAAGCTGCAAATTCTCCAGGAGCTCGATCGAAGTGGCCTGCTCAAGACGGACGTGGCGAAAAAATACGACATCCCGAAATCGACACTGTTGCGGGTTTGCAAAGACAGAGAAAATATTGAAGGCGTTGTAAGGAATGGGACCTTTACATCTAAACAGATACGGATGCGGACGACGCCTCATGATCATGAACAACTAGAAAAAGTTCTTTTTCTCTGGTTCAAGCTTGCACAGAGTTCCGATTTGCTCATCAGCGAACCACTTCTCGAGCAGAAAGTTCGAGAGATCGCCATGCGAATGGATATTGAGAACTATGTCCTAAGCGATGGATGGCTCAGCCGCTTCAAAACACGCCATGGCCTAGTCTTCAAAGCAATCTCAGGTGAGAGTGCTCAGTCAACATGGACATTTGCATCGACTGGCAACAGGTTATTCTCAACACTAAAGTTCATTATTGCAGACAATCGCTTCATCGAATGCTGCTTTGTGCAGACAGCGGGAAATGGTACATCATAGATTTATTGGCAGCCATCCACATTTTGGCTCATGCCTTGGAGGCCTTGAAGCAAGTGAAGGCAATAAGAATACACAGATGCTTGATGCTTTCATCATGCTGGCTTTCAAGTGCAAGAAGCAGTACCTGATTAAAAAGAAAGCCCTGTTGATGCCGACATTGAGGCAGTACTCAGTGAGGTTGTGCCCTCTGCCCCTTTCACGCTGCAGAACTACGAATCATTTGATGAAAATGTTCATACGTGTCGTGAGGAGACTGTCAAGGAAATTATTGCCGAAATGCAAGATGAGGATCTACCTTACAGCGATGAATGTGATGACAATATTGCCAGTGCAGTGGTGCCACCAGACCGATCAGCTAAAGAGGCTGTTGAACTTTTGCAGTGCTATTTTTAGCATAAGGCTTGTCCAAAATTTCTGGCTAGTTTGTCAGGCATGGGCACGTACCTTGTGAAAAAACAATTCAAGCTTGCCAAACAAACCACCTTTCACTTCTTTTTTCTCCTACTCATCCTCATGAGTAAGGTGAGGGTCGTGCAATTTGAGTAAAGGTTTTTATTCACTAAAAAAGTGTACTTTGCTTAAATGAAACTTCTGATAATTGGAACAGTTTTATGGATCCCTTTCGAGTTCTGCTTAAGAGGAGTCGACTGTATTAAGTTATAGATGACCATCGTGAGATGAATATGGCTATAATTTTTCTTTTGAAGTTACTTCTCTAATGGAACTAATTTGATGCAGGCTCATTGACCCTTACCTAAAGTTACACAGCAGCCTTTATCAAGTGTTCTACATTATTGAACGAAGCTTTCACTGCCTGGAGGCATGACATTCTTCATTTTGCTTGTTCTCAATTGCAGTTCTCCACGCCATCAATGATGACAGCCCCACAGTGCCGACGCTCTTGACAGATTACATCCTGAAAAGTATGTGGCCAGCCATGTTGATTAGAGCATTGGTAAACATAGAGCTCATGCTAAACATGGCATGTTAGAGAACATTTCCAATGATAGGCACTTGTTTCTACAACTGTGTGAGCGTACAGCCAAACTTGAATGTGTAATAGTTATGTTTGTGTTCGTTGTATTATTAAAATAACTATAAAAAGCTTGTTTCACTAACATTTCAGTGTCAGCGGCGCTGCTTGTATGCGAATTATCTGTGAGTCAACCCTTAGCAATGTTTATGAGCAAAACATTGTGATTGCTGCAAATAATGAAGATTGGGCACAACGACTGGCATCCGACCCAGGCTTTCTGCATGACACTCGGGTGTTCCAGTGCTTGAAACTGCTTTGAAAGAAGGATCCTAAACGACATAAGTTAGTGCGTGGAGTCACGTTGAAAAAAAAAGAAATCTAACATCATGTGGCAGAAGCGTAGAATTGCACCAGCTGTAATGCCATGCAAACTGTGCAACAGGTGGGAAGTGTGGTGGTCCTCCCATAATTATCGTCGTCAACCACAGCATAAACGAAATGTGAAGTGAGCACGCATTCCCTTGCAGGCTTGTAGTTTCGTCATTAAATGATGAAATATTAAGTAGCAGGCACTTCACGACTGTATCTGTAGCAGGAATTCCAGGATAGTTTAATGTGGCTAGTATCTGTAGCAGGCATTCTAGGATAGTGGCCAGTGTTATGCACACAATCATTCCTTTTCCTTCAAGCATGATGAGTGTCTGTTGATAAGGGAATCGTGGCAAGCAAATAAAGAGACGATGCGAACTGTGCCTGACTACGCTGTTGCATTAGACTCTCGAGGGCAAAGCTCGACTGTCCTCATGGTTGCTGTGGCTCATTTTTTGAACATTAGTTCAATCGATTGAGTATGTGAAAGTTTCAACCACCTGCACTTATACAGTGCATAGTAAGAGAACATAAGATTAACCTATCTAGTAAATTGCCAATAGAACTCAACTTAGTGCTGTCACACCTGCCTATTTTTTATGCCTGAATTGTAATTTATTTTTTTTAACCCTGTTGTGAAACTTGTACGAATTTCCGCTTCGAGGTTGCAATCAATTAGCTGTATACCTTTTTGCCGTTTTGTGTAACAGGGAGTCAGTGCAATTCAAGCTGTTCTTATGTCTTTTAGCTGTCCTTCTCATCACATGCTCTTGTTGAATGAAATTTCAATTTCTATTACGATAACGGGGCTTCCTGCGTTATGTTTTGCAGTTTTATGTCCGACGTAAAGCAAGGTGATGCTGAGAAGCAAACAACTTTGCCAGATCATTCTTGCGGCCCACACCGGTGCCGACCTCGGCCCTCGGCTTTCGTCACTCTGCACGAGGCTGGCGTCCATCGATGGCAGCTGAAGGCTGAAGTCCGCAAAAACGCTTGTCGCCCGCGTCATCCCAGGAAGACTGGTTGCTAGGATTTTACGATGTCATCGTTCTCTTTGTTTCGGCTTCATGTCTTACGAGATTTATTTATTATTAGAAGGACAGGGGAGGGGAGGAGGAGTCACTGGCGAAAAAAATTTTCGTCCTTGCGGTTTTTATTTTTTTATTTTTTAGAACAAACCTTAAAGTAGGAAGACTGCTTGGGGACCCTTTGCTGTCGGCAACTATCAAGGCTATTCAGACGGCATGTGGCTGTAATGTTAACTGAGCGTTTCATAGTCAAGTTTTTATTTTTATGTGTTTTTACCGTGTCTTTAGCAGCGACTGCAGCTGAAAAATCAAAAAAGGGGTACAGGCTTTTATACTGGCAACAACTGGCGACTATTCAACAGAGACACTGGCCAGCCAGCTTCCATTTTTTATTGTCAGAACAAATTTTATAAAAAATATTTGGCAACAGACATTGCATTCAGGCTTTCCAAGTGTATTGCCTCAGTAAGGTGACATCAAAATATACAGCAATGGCCTAAGTGTGTGCTACTAATTGAAGATGTTTCAAGTCGAGCATTTGTAAAGTAGCCTCCATGTGAGGAGGAGGAATCTGAAGACTTGCACGTCTACACACGCCCCTCGTTACTCTATTAGGTACAGTGTCCGGGCTTGGCGGCCATGGCCTCCTTGTTTCGTCATGCCAGAGACGGAGCTTCACGAACGCTATGGCAAAGGGTCTCGAGTGAGTCGGGACTATCACCGTTACCACTCACGCGATGGCTTTATTTGTTGAAGCATCATTTCAGACCTTGAGCAAGGCAGTAAAAGGTCGCTCGCCAGTAGTCGGCCGGCTTTTCGCGCGGGCCCGATTCTCAACGTATGGCACTGCGTGGCAACGCACCTCTCGCCCACGTCATAGTCAAACTCAAGCCAATGGACTTAGGTTTCGCGGTTATTTGCAAGGTGTCTTTCATGCTTGGAGCTTGTTTTAGAGCTTGCACTCGTTTTTTTTATTGTGCGCTGAAAGACAGCTATATGAAGTTTATGTATAGTTTATTTAGAGTGTACAAATGCGGGAGCTGCACTGTGGAACGATCACTTCTGGGAGCGTCGACATCGGTCAGTGTCGGTTGAAGCGTTGGCAGCTCTGGCTTTACGTTTTTTATGTGAGCCTGTGTGCCTCGGTTGCACGCCAGAATGTGTCCTTGTTGTTGAGACGTTCACTGCATTAGCGAGGGCCAGAGAAACTAGGGATGTTTCATTTGCCAAACGACGTTTCTTTGAGCCTTGTAAACACGGAGTCGAATTTCGGGCCGGTCGGTGCAACATAATGTTGGAACTTCAAATGGGGTGCACACACAGAGACAATTACACAACCTTTTTTGTGTGCTTTTGTTGTCTTAACTGTGTTTTCACCGTTGAGGCTTGCCTTAGCGGCACTCCAGCTGCGGGCCACCTTCACATAACTGCCGAACTAGTACAGTGAGCCATTTGACATATTTACGGAGATATTGTGGCACTGTGCTAGAAGCTGAGATCTGAACTTTACGCCTTTGCTTTGAATGCCTAGTGTCTGCTCTGCATCTCGAAGAACATACCTTGGTGTAACCACAGTGACGTTCCTAAATCAATGCACCGAGCTCACAGTTGAGTGTTGTAGTGCACGAAAAGACATTATTATTATGTTTTCAATGACAACCTTATAGAGTACGTACATAAGTGATCGTTGCACAGTGTGGGTCCGGCTGTTTTATTGAATCAGTGTTGTTCTTTATCAGGGTCTTTTTTTTCTATTCATGTTTTTTGCACGTGTACAACTTAATTTTTTTTTTGTGGCCTGTTTTTCTTGGCTTTTACCCCTTGTTGTATCTGTTTTATTCCCAGCCATGGAACATTTTATACCTGATTTTGTGAGGGGCAAAAACTGAACTTCTCTTTACACAAATGTTTTAATGCTTAACACTATTCCTGATGGTTTTTGTCTTTCTTTCCCTCTAGGGCATTCAGTAAACTGCTTGAAAATGCCAGTAAAGCTGCTTGTAGATTTTGGAAATTTTTACATCCGTGCTGATTAATCAAATTACTGCAGGTTTTGATGAGGATTACAAGATTGGAAGAGTAGGTCTTTAAGCAATGTTCTTTCGGTAGCTACGGCTGGCTAAGGCTGTGGACTTACTTAGTTGGATGAAATGCTCTAGGTTGAGTCTGATTCATAGGCAGTGAAGCTTTATGTGCAGCTTAAAATCTGACATTGCTGCATTTGTACAATTTCCACTATTCAGGGTTTCAGCAGGAAACTCGGTGAAATTGCGCAGCTGTAGCCACGTGATTGTGAAGCAAGCAAAGTGCAATGGTTTTGAAATTCTTTACAGGGTACGAAATCTCAAGAATTTTTAGACTTTGCTTTTTGTGGCAACAGGTGGTTGTAATCTTCAGTTGGCATTCAGTGAAAGATTCTGGGAACATAGACATTTAAAATATATGCTGGAAAGGTGGCTTGGGTACCCAAATCATCACAATATTATTGCACTCATCAGCACTTAGTGTGCTTCGATTGTAGTGTAAGTTTTAAACCACGAACTTGCAAGACCATAGTAGCATGCACAAAATAGTAATGTGTAAGGGTTTCGTGGGCTCTCTCTCTCTTTGCATATGTCCATCGAACTGACAGTACATTGTGATGATAAAATTACAGTTCGGAATCTGCTATTTGAATGCATTCCTGTTAGATCTGCATGTGTTAATTGAACTCACAGTACATCGTGATGATAAAATTAAAGTTTGGATTGAATGCATTCCTGTTAGTAATGCTTCGTTAGACTTTGAGGTGTGAATGTATACTTTCAAATCTTGCGCTTTTGAGTGTCTCTAAACCATGACACGTGGAAGCAAACTTTTGCCGACACATATGCTTTCGCAGCTGTCATTCAGCTGTTCACACTTCTTGCAACAAAACTGACACGTAGTTCCAGGTCATTGGACATTGTTCATATCGGCTTTGGCACGATGTTGTCAGTCATTTACTCACGTGCCATGTACTGATTCCTTGAATCTTGAGTGTAACAGAAGTGTCTACTTCTTGTTACAATGCGCATGAACAAATTAGCATTGTACAAAGATTGCAAAAGCAATATTGTCTTTTGTGTCTTAGTTATCAGTGCTCCTCCTTTCTTCCTTGAAAGCTTGTTTAAAGTGACAAATGGATTCTCATGAATTACTTAAGAAGTTCAGGTTGCAATCAAGTATGCTACTCAGATTTATGAATTTTGCATAAATGCGCTATAAGAAAGAACTGCGAAACATGATGACAGATGTGAGGAATAACAAAGAAAAAATGAAGGGGATGCTTCTCGACAGCATTGTGAAGCCACACATGGCTGTTGAAAAGTATATTCAATATCTATTTTATAGTAATGCCACTTTTGCATGTCACGAAATGATGTCAATGATAAATGTGCGTTCTAGCTTGGGGTAGCGCTTTACATTGAAAACTGCTTCCTGAAACCAGCCTAGCGAACATAGATAGTGACGTATCTGCACTTTCGTGCCAGTGTTTCTCGGCATCTTACCTCGACCTCGAAACGTGGCAGGAAAACCCGAGCATCTTTCTCGTAAAGGCCATACATGAAAATGCATTCTCTCCATGCGAATGAATTGGAGCAGAAAAGTGATGTTGCGATGTTCTTGTGTTCTGCTGTTCATTGCCAGGTGTTTTTGCTTCCAGAATTGTGCTTACTGGACATACGAGACACACTGAAGATTGTGTGAACGGAAAAGGAAAATCGATCATGCAGTTACAGATTGAGTGCAGAAAGCGTCAAGCTTTTGACAATGGCATATTCACGTTGGGATCATTTGGGAGCGTGCTGTAGCAGTTGACGATATAGTATGCTGTTATTTATGTGCGTTATTGTAGTTTGACATTAATACTTGCAATAAAAGGCTCGAACTAAACATCAAGACAGGTGTGCATTGATGCAGTGTCCTGGCGTATGTGTGTTCAAACCCACTGTTTTTTTAAACAATTAAGTTCAGTTTTTTTTCACACTCTAAAATGCACTTTTGAGGTGTAACCGCTTTTGCGAAATTTTTAAAGTAACCACACTCCTGCTCCTGCTAATAATTTCACAACACAATCATTGTACACTTCTTTCTAACAAATGGTGTGTTCCTGTTAGTTAAATCAATCTCTTGACGCTTTCTGTATTCAGGCTGACCGAACGTTCCTGTAAGCTTTCGATGCTAGCAAAACAGAAAATGGATTGATTTGCGAATCCAAGTTGCTATGGACATGCAAATCACTGAAGTACTTCTTCACGTCTATTCGAAGCAGGTCGGTGCTGCCGTTGCAGCTTTGCAATCGTGTTGGCGAAGACGTATTTCTTTTTTCCCAATGCTATTTGTCTCAGCTGACGACGCGATTATGGCGCGCGACACTTGAGCCTGTACAGCATAATGCCATGTGCAATCGCTTAGGGAGTTTTCTTAAGCACATTCTTTCATTGTTAAACTGTCGACATTTCCTCCGCAACCACACGTTGATTGTATCATCAATGTTCTCTCATTTCTCGCTGCTTGCGGAGTTTGTCTGCTTATCTGTGCAACTATTTTTCAAAGCCTTTTGAAGCATGATGTTGAACTCTATATCACCTTCCTCCAAGTCCACAAAACGATGCAGTGTTCTCTGCACGGCACGTGCGCTTCATAAAATATGTGTTGTTTTGTGATATGTTATGGCATATCTATTTTTTGTACATAAATCTCTACCCTCACCAGTTACAAATATCTAGAAGTGTGCATGTCGATATAAATGTGCAGGCCTGACCCATTTTCTGGCATTGCAGTTTCATGATACACCTGAAAAAATGCGTGCTGCAGCTTTATCATTTCCTTGTGCAGCTTATCGTTTGATAAATCAGGGTAAGCACGATTTGCTCTGGAAAGATAGAGGCGTATAGCTGACATAAGAAGATATTGGTTTTGTTTAGATAGAGCTGTCATTTTACAGATGAATGCTAAAACAGATGTTTGTTCTAAAGCTTTTGGTGCAAACTTCACAAAATCTTGTAGACAGGCAAATTGCTTTTGCATAAAGACAGTGTCAAATTTCAGCTTATTTGGAAGTTTGGATTCGATGCAAGTTACTTGACATATTATATGTTGTACGTCTGATAACTTTACATCTGACATCTCATTTTTTAAAAAAAGCATATTGCATAATTTCACTGTGCAATATTTGTCAACTTGTGCAGCCATTTTATTGTTTCACCTGCTTGTCTCCCATGATGTTGGATTCGTGGAAACTATATCATTGAGTATTATGAAAAAGGTCAAAATATCAATCAAGCTTACCAGACACTTGTTGACACAGAAACATATAACATGAGGTTCAGGAATTGTCTTGCGTGTTTTACGTGACTTTCTGGACATTTAGGATTTACTAAGTAGCCCAGACTTCCACGTTTTTGGTCCCTATGTTGAGATCAGGGCTGTGTTGACATGCATCTGCACACAGCGGGAATCGAGCAACACAGTGTATGCGTCGTTCATAACCCAACAACATTCGCAGTTCATTTCAAACCCAGCCCAACTATAGACTGAAGGGCCTGCATAATTTCCACCATCGCTTCGTTGCCAACGTAGCGTTCTTCTCGTTTATGGCTAGTAACAATGAGTTCTGTTGAAGAACTCACCTTTGTTCAAGCGCAGTGTCTTCTTTCAGATTCTTTCAATGCACTGATGAGTGTGCTCTTCTCAGGTTCCTGCAGTTTCGTTCGTTTGCTTCCAGTGCAGCTGCCAAAATATAATCTTGTCAAGGTGTTTACGATGAGTGAATGAGTGAGCGAGTGCGAACGACTGTGGATGGGACTGCTGTACAGCGACAGGTTTACTATATCAGCTCCTGAAGCGTTAGTCGTCAATGTGCCGCTGTCTCGTGCAATCCTCAAGCACCGTTTGCAGCAAAGAAACGAAAGGCTGAACCCATAACCGATGTGATCATAGCAGGTCACAACGGAAACCTTCAGAGGCAGCAATGAAACCAAACATAGTTGTAGGCACGTGTGTGCGCACTCCCTTCCCATTTGCCGTTGTGTTGGACCCTCCACAGAATGCCACTAAATTGTGTCTTGTAGTTTATTTGAGCTAAATAGTATGGTTTGTGTACTATTCGACCCTGTAGGAGTTTGCAGTTTGTTGTAGTACTGAATATTTATTCGCAGTTTTTCAATGTCGGGCTGATACAATTTATCCTACCTTCCACTAAAACAAAGGACTTGAAGCACACGGTTTTTATGCGTTCGAAATGCTTAGTCTCTTGTAAGATCTTTCGAGATAATGTAACAGAGTGAGCTTTAACGATAACCGATGCTGTCTGGGAGCTGTACAGTCTGGCAGTGCCTGTACTATGGGAAGAAGTGCTGGAAAAATATGCGTGGCCATATCTGGATGTTCAGATGAACTTGTACATTATTTATTGCTCTGCAAAACTTCCTCCTAAGCACCACTTTTAAAACTGTGTGTACAGCACCTTACTGTGAAGTGCACGCGACTCTGTGTAGTAGTAGTTCAAATCCGTTTTTTTCCGTTTCATTTTTCTGATCATCGTGTCTGTCGGGTCGTTTGGGCGACGCACAGAAAGCTCATTCGAAGGTCACAAACTTGTAACAATATACGAAGCGTGCATGGTCTGTTCCTGCAGCTTGTTCTAATTGCAATGCACCTGCATTGAAATGTAGCTCTGTGGCGTGCCGTTGATTGCATTATGCCGCTAGACATGGAGTTGTGAACTGTGGCAACTCGCATTGTGCTTGCAATGCCAGGTTCCTCTAGCCCGAAATGTTGCTCTGTAGTGTTGCACAGACTGCAGTGGCTGTGGTTTGTTGAGAGTGAGTGCAGGGAGTGATGGAGTCATGCCGAGATTTTTTTTCTGCATTATACAACTGTGCTACAGCATAGCACGACCATGGAACTATTAGACGACTTGGACACCCTTTTGAGGTACTTGTGTGTGCTGGCGGTTTCTTGCGTTGAAGAGATAAATAAAAGATGGACTCTATCTTGAGTTGTGTGCGTTGTCTCATCTTTTGTATTCGTATTGCATATGTGCTTACCGATTCCGAAACCTTAGTAGGACAAATTGTGGTTGCTTCGTGGCCATAATGTTGAAAACATTTCGGATACTTTCATTGAAACTTCATACTCTGCTCCTGAGAATACACTAACACAGTCAGAACATTTTACATACTATAGTTGAAGCACCAGCACAATTCCTAAGCAAAAGTGTGTGTCATTGAAATTTAGCTTTTATGGTGTGGTCACTGTTTCACCAGATGTTGACAAGGACAGTGCTAGTGGGGGGGGGGGGGGGGGTAGGGGGCTGGAGCGCCCTAAAATTATCCCTTGCCCCCCCCCCCTCCCTCCAAGAGCGAATGCAGTCAAAAGAGAACTCGGAAGTTAATCGCCCACCTGCACTCCTGGATGAACTCACTTAATATTAAATATTTTATTAAATGTTTGTGATGCGTGTGCACGCTAGGGCTGAATATAATGTTGCAAACGGCAATGGATTATGTACATACCTCAAGCTGCCTGGGGCAACTCTTCTTCTAAGGGAGCTGAAGCATGCTGCCACATACATTCGAGGCATTCCTATTTATTTTGTACTCGATATGTATTCGTATATTTTCTTTTCTACAAGGAACTAAATAGTGTCGCGCCGATGGCGCACATTATTGCCGCGCGACCGCCTTAACGCGCGGCGTGGCCGCTACGGAGCGTTGGGGTCGCTGGGTCTGGCGTCCTCGGCGCGGAAGACGACGGCTTCCATGCCGATGAGACGGCCGGGCAGCGCGCCCCACGGCTCCCAGCACAGATCGGCGTCGTCGTGGTGGTGGTCCCTGCAAGCCTCCGCGCATGACCATCATGTTCGTGCGGACGCCAGTCACCTTCCTGGCGGTCCGTGCATCCGCCTATGGCGTACGCGTCCTGGCCTGCGAGTCGACCAAGGGACCACATGTTCTCGGCCACTGGAGAGCGCTGTCTACAGTTCATCAGCGCGATTGGGCTGAGTCGGAGCAATTTCGGATTACGAACCGACTCTGACGACCGGCTCCTGCATTCCTATTTAGGTTACTTTCACGCGTACGTACAAGACAGAAACGCACTGAAGATGTGCTGCCAACAACATGCCCACATCGCACATCCTGCACTCCGCCAAAATTTGACAGCTGTGGCTGGGAATCAAACCGGCTTCCTCGAGCTTACATTTTATTGCTGAGAGCGGGGTAGTCCCTTAATTAAGTAGTGCCTACACAACACATTATTAAGAACCTTCGACGTGTTGTTAGTGACCGTACACTGACCGGAAGTAGATATGTTGCTCGCACTGGCCCTTTCGATAACACTGGGTGTAGGGGCACGCAGAACAGATGAGCACACGTGTCGACCCAGTAGCCCGGCCACAATCCGCCCACTCGAGTAGGGAGGAAGACGGCACGGATGGCGTTCTATTTGGAGCGACCCCATCTCAATTTTGCTTATTTTTTTTATCCACTAGGCTGTGCGTTCTGGCGCTGCAATCACACTGATAACGAACGACTGCACAGTGCCTACGGCGGGGGAAACATATTTGCGAATTTTGTCATCAGCGAGACTGGGGCCGTATTTCTGAGACGACCATTTTACGTGACGCTGTCACTTGTGTGATATTTGCGTCCGTGAGCGAGAATGTTTCATGTCTCGCATGCGCTACCATCAAGTACCGCCACCTTTAAAGCTCGTTTACACAGCACGTGTCGTGACACAATGACAAACTGCTTTAAACCCGGCCGTTAAATTCCTGCTACTGCACCTGTAAACAACAGTACGCGTCCAGCGTTCTATTCGCGGGAAATCTCTCGAAAATGACAGCGTCGGCGAGAATAATTAATGGTGTCAGTAATTTGATCAATAATGTGGCGCCAACAGCATCCTTCTCGACGATATGCTTGACAACGGGAACGCATTCCATAACTCCAATGCATTGCTCATTTCCTTTCGTTACGAAATGTCTGCGTGGTAAACCAACGAAGCGAGCGCCTTAAGAAGGCTCTAGAGAAACACAAAGAAGCGTTGTGTTTGACTTATTGCGTGGTTATTCGAAAGGGCTGCACGGCAGTATATACCACGCTTGCGTATCAACAGACTACAAAAGGGGCACGCCATTCCAGGGGTTGTGGGTCGGTGGACTGAACGACGCCGGACAGGGCCCGGTGTCCTGATCACATACTTTGGTTTCGCAGTGGTCGCTCGCCATCATCTTTCACATATTTCGTGCTGGAGGCGCGCACCAGTGATAACTGGAATCAAGATTACGCGTACCTACTCTGCACGTCAGTAGGTACTCTGCACGTGAGCAAATCAAATAATCTGGCGCGAGAAAAAGTGACGACGAGAAAGTGAGAAAGATACAGAAAGGCACATGTCACCAATCTTTCAACTGCTTGTCTACTGACGGTAAGCCTCGTGAATACGTCGAATCAGTCGCCCATGTTCAGTTTCTTCAGAATGATTCGAGCATGAATTGAAGACATATCGCCGATAGACGACAGGCTGGGCACTCATATGTTTTCGATGTCGGCAACATATTTTTTTCGCTCGGCACATTTCCTACTGAAAATGTGCGTGGGCCTTAAAGGTGATTGGTACATATATCGCAATACCTTTGATAACTGTACCCATGTATCTCCCGTATCCAATAAGACGCAACGGAGAGGAGTGAGGGTGGTGAGGGTATAGTGGCTGAAAATAGGCCCGCTGTCTGAAAAAACAAACAAAAAAAACCCCGACCGAGCTGGTCTGAAACCGGACAGGTGGCACCCTTACTCTGAACACGCAGTGTTGAAAATACTCACCACACAACTAGTAAATCTCGGTCTGTTGTACCGCAGCACGGTACTTAAACGACTACGTCACATGATAGTGCGCGAAAAAAAAGAGGAAAAAAAAAACAAGGACAACTAAAAAGAGGGCGTCAAAAGAAAACGAACAGACTATATTTATGCATGACGACAACAGGAAGCGAAACAACGTCAGTTAGCGCTGCTTACGATATCACCCACTTTCCCAATCGTTAACTTTGATTAGTTACACCTGAGGCTCGTGCCTCAGCAGGTGGAATAAGACGCCTTTAGTATAGGCACCATTCAGTCGAGTTTTCCAGTCTGACTGCAGCGCCAGAATACATAGCCTAGCGGATAAAAACAGCAACATTGAGCAGGCGTCGGTGAAAATGGAACGCGACGCGCGCACATCTCGCGCCCTGCATCTGCCGGCGGATTGTGGCCTGGATACATGCGGTAGCGCACACGCGTCTATTTTCTGTGCGCCGCCTAACGGCGAATGTCGAAGACTTCGGGACGGGCCAGTGTGAGCAACGAAGCTCTTTGTGGTCAGTGTGCGGTGCCTATTTCGACGCACACGTGTTCGTGCGCTCGGTACGTTTCACACAAGGCCGACGCCATTTTGGAGCAAACTTCCTTCGTGCGAGAAACTTGCCCAAGAAGCTAAATACGTGTGCCACTCTTCGCCTCCGGCGAGAAGAAGGAACTGGCAGTAAGTTTTAGCTCGAATACCTTGAGTTACAATTGGGCAGGGTAACTGTTGCACCTTATATCGCAACTATATGAATAACGCGTTAATTCACCCGACTAAGAATGCGTCAACAACGTGTCAGACCAATGTACTCAATTGATAGCAGTCAGTTTCTGCCGCAGTCTTTTTCACAACCCCTACCTTTCTTTTTTCTTCGTGCATGACGTATATTACGCCAAGACATACACTACGGTCATACTGATCTATTGCGGCAGCGCGCTAACGAATACAAATAATGAGATGAAGACGAGACATCGTTCCTGCATGATCCACGAAGGCGGTCCAGTGGTTGTGGCGCTCTACGGCTGTCCCGAAAATCAAGCAATTAAAAGCCCCTCATTTTCGATAGAGGCGAAAACGCTTGATGCTCGTGTGCTTAGATTAAAGTTCACGTAAAATAACCCCCAGTGAGCGAAATTTCCGGAGCCCTCCATTATTGCGTCTTTCATAATCTTATCGTCGGTTTGCGACGCTAAGCCGCGAAAATCGGTGCATGACAATATTGTTTATCCAAATGAGTCACAGCTGTCAACCACCAGTAACGTTATGCAAATGTAAGCTACTATGATTTGTAAGAGGCCAAAATCTGGACATGCCCTGCCAAATCTGTTCACCAAGTTTAACAGTGAACCCGTCTGTACCACTAGATATCCGGCCGCTGTGGCATAGCTTAGCGCGTAGGGTGTCGCGCTGCCATAAGCTCAAGTGTGCGGGTTCGACTCCCGGTCACGGTCACTGAATTGCGATGCGGACGAAATTCAAGCAACACTCGTGTGTTTTTAGATGGCTTGCATTGACGCCGCTAAAGCCGCTATGTTAGAGTGTGCCGCATAAGTAATAATAACGTAGTGCGTAAAAACTGACACAGGACAAGAGAAGGGGCCAATAGGTGCCCCTTCCATACTCTTTGCCCCTTCCCTTGTCCTGTGTCTCAGTTTTTGCGCGCTGTGTTATTAATTATATATTACCAACACACCCAACTACCGCGTGTTAGGACGCGTAGTTTGTGTGTTGTTGCGCTAATGTTGTCAGTACATCGCGTGCAGTTTTCTTAATCATTGATACACCGGGGCCAGCAACGCTCCGGTCGAGTGGTCACAACGTGACTATGCTGTATTGACGTCATCACAGCCGCCATGTTGAAGCACCATTACTTTAATGACCGCGCCCATGACGTCACCTGCAAGCTGTCCATGGAGGAAGGAAGAAGAAAGAAGGGATCATTAAGTCACACGAGGTGAAGCCCACCCTGTCGGCCCAACACGTGGTCAAAAACGTCAGAGCGTGCAGTAGGTTTTAGTACCCTCGGTGGTGTTCCGTTTCTGAAACTCCTGCGCGAGCCAGCCAGTCTGCGCAGAACAAAGTGCGTTTCAGATAGAAGCTACCGGGTGCCACATTCTGAAGTCTCAGCGCGTCTCGTCGCTTGCGTGA